TTTTTTTTAATAATGCAGGAGAAGGGTGTGGCAAAAGGTGCCAACGGCTTGGAATGAAATCCATCACATGCAGGCCCAAATTCAAACCTCCCCTCATTTAGCTTCAGGCAAGTTTTCATCTCTTCCTTGACCTTGAAAGAAGGCTGCTGACACTTTGGCGGCTGCCTTTGAAAGTCAACTGCCTGTTTTTCAGACTCATAAATTGCCTGTAAGAAGTGTTTCATTATTCTATCCAGGCGACATCAAATATCTGGACCATATTTCATGAAAGTTCCCCTTCAGGCCCAGGCCACAGGGCAGGTAGCATTTCTGTCTCCAGGAAACCCCCGAAACCACCTTCTGGATTATTCCATTGGAGACAAATTAGAAGTGAAAGCGGCTGCCTGCACTCTTTCATGTTCACGGGGCAGTCGGGTGGGTGCAGGCTACCAGACACCAAAGAATTCTTTATTCTTCCATCACAGGGGAAATTGAGGAAAGAAAGTAAACACAGCGCCTTCCACCCATACATCAGTCATGGGACACTGCGTGGGAGGGAGCCGAAAGGCGTCATTCCCAAGGCAGAAAGCTACCAAAAAGGATGGGACTCTCTCACCCAGTGCTGGGCCTGGTCAAAAATACAGTTTCAATAGAGTTTGGTCTCTAGCAATGATCTAAAAGTCAGGAGGTCTCAACTCAAAACTTAGCTTAGCCATTACATAGCTGTGTCTTTAAACGAGTCACTACCCATCACTACCCATGTGGTAGCAACCACGTGGTCTGTGAATTCTTATCAGTCCTATCATTCTGTGATTTTTTCCATTGATCAACACAGGCAAGTCGCTTTAACTAGTAATATATTTACTATATAAATGAAAAATGAATGAATATGACAACCAAGTTTATCAAGTCTATCACCTGATTTTACATTATGACACGAAATCTTTCTTAACCCCAACATGTCAAGAACACATCATTCTCCCCAAGGGTTGATATGTTCTCCTTCCCTTCCCCGAGGAAGTGCTAAAGCCAACACAGCTCGAGGTGATGGGAGAAAGATCTGGGTGCTGGTCTCACAAAGCTGGCAACATTAAGAAGGGAGAGGAATTCGCTTTTATTGAGGGCCTTCTCTCTGACAGACAACGTATGATTTCGTTAAATCCCTAGGACACCCCTAACCGGTGGATATTGTATTCCTACTCTAAAGTAAGCAAACTGAGGCCCTCTAAAATAAAAATGCCAGGATTCAAATTCGGTTTACACAGTCTTTGTTTCACATTTTGCAAGGCCTCTTAGAATACTGGATGGAAAGCCAGAAGTACCAAAAGAGTATATTAACTTGTAGCTGAGGGGCTCTGGGAAAGCTTCCTAGAGGAGGAGGTATTTTTTAAACTGGACCTGAGGCCAGTCCAGGTTTGGTCATTTTATTCTATCTCAGATACACACACATATACAGTCACACACACACACACACACACACACACACACACACACACACACACACTCCACACACTCTTCTACATGGACTCAGGGTGGCCCTCAGCCACTGACCAGGCTGGAAGAATGTGTGTACATACTCAAAAGAAAGCTTTTGATTTAGTGCTGGCAACTCTCCAGCCATAGAAGTGTAGGTTCCCAGCACAGTTATTATTTCTTTTTCCACCAGCAGAAAACATCTGTCCTGCGAAAATTATATTCACTAAGAGACCATGGCATACCTGCCAGGAGCCCCACAGCCCTCCCCTTCAAGGCTTCCTGTATCAGAGGCTACAGTTGTGCTCTGATGGGATTACTGTGGACCCCCAAAGGCTTTCAGCACCCTGAGCTAACCAGAAGGACAGAGAGTGTCCTCTGACAGGGCATCCCTAGGAACCGCTGAAATGGGACTCATGACTCTCATGAACAGAATTTTTATTTCACCTAAATTAACTGCCTCTGGATCTCTTAACTGACACTTATAAATCAACTAAACAGAATTCATTTAACGGAATCCAAAACATGGTCAGAGGAAAGAAGCATAAGAGGTCTAAATTTCAAAGACCCTAGTATGTCCCAGCATTGTGCAAGGTTCTCTTTCTCTCACCCTCCTCCTGACAGACTATGACCCTCTTCGTACCTTTCTACCATTTGGGGGAGGGGAGGCTATAGGAAATGAGAGAGGCAGCACGTTGTCCTGGAAACAGCTTAGGTTTGGGAGTAATAAATCCAAGGCCACACAGGTAAGCAGGTAAGACTGACATGAGATGCAGGTGCGGAGCTGCAAGATCTGTGTCCCTTGTACCTTATCCTACTAATTCCTCTAGCAGGTAGTCCCAGTTAACTGTAATGTCGGGGCATTGATAGGTGCAGTGGAAAGATAAGAGGCACCCCGATTAGGAAAGGTCTTGCAAGCTCAGATGAGGAGTTTGAGCCTAA